ACTCGCTACATTAGCCTGGAGCTTATAGGAGTCCTCATCGTAAGAACCCCCTTCCGGTGTGACACTCTAGCTATGCTATCCTTTGGAGGTTCTTCTCGCTGTATGCATGTCCATGCACAACTTTAGTGCTTCCCATTCGGACCCCTTCATGGCGGCTCTGATTGCCCTCAGCACCTCCGGGAACGCTCTCTCCTTCGTAAGATACGCCACACATGGACAATATAACATATCAATCGTAGGTTCTCAAGGAGAAGGTCTTCCGAGCGTTCGTAGCATGGCAGACGTCAGCCGCTCGTGCGCCACTCCTAGCAGACCAACGGTGAGGCAGCTGAGTCAGCTGAACTTTGCCATCAGGCCTCTCAGGTCAAGCCCACGCAAGCTAGATGTATTCGTTGTCAACTGCTGTGTGTCCGTCTTCCAAGTCCTTTGGCTTCTCCCTGTAAGTGCTCTCTCATCTCGTTATGCTGCTACCCCTGCGATAGTTACTAGCGATCGGCCCAGCCATAGGGAAAACCCATGGCCTAGGGTTGTTCGAATATCTCCAAGAGGCCAGCTACTGTTTCGTCGGAGGCTGTCCTAATGCTTGGCAGCTGTGCGTGATAGCCGTAGAGACTCCATACGGCATCCTCGGCTCCTCTCAGGTACAGCGGTTACATCTGCGTGAACCTTCTGTACAACGCAGCGTTGCTCTTCCTCGTGCAAAGAGGCTCAGCACTGTTGGCATTCGTCAGCCTTAAGGCTGTCACGCCGGCCTCGGCTATTCTATTCTCTATCGAGTAAGTGACTTGGCGAAGAGGTGCTTGGGATTGCTTCATGTTTAGCTGGCCGGTGCTTGGACCTTCTACTGTGACCTGGTTAGACTGGGTCGAGGTCGTTCTGGTCACCGTCGGGATCGTAGCCTTCCGGGCGGGAAATCTTCGCAAAGAGGAGTATATCAGACAAGGCCAGAAGAAGATTTGTATGGCCTAAAAAGGCGCCTGCAATACCATCTGATAACAATACTGTTGACCTTTAGAACATAAACCACACAATTCTGGTACCACCGTCGACAATGCATCGACGAACTTTTTTCACTGTTTTAACTTCA